CCCCCCTTCAGATAAAGCCAAGTCTGCTCTGATTGTCAGCTGGATTTATTAAGTGGCCGTGCAAGACGAGCACCAAGTTGTGCATTATATGCAAACGTGGGGCATCGTGACATCAGAGTGATGCGATGTATCGGCCAGACAACCGATGAGGCTTTTCTGTCTTTCTCTGCGCAAAAGGAATCCACTTTATCACAGAAAAGAAAAGGTGATCATACAGCCCAATCAATATTCTTCAATATAAGCACACCCATTCCCATACTTGCTGTGGATATGAAAGAATGCACTCACTACTGGAGCATTTCATGTCGGTCGGAGCAGGAGACACAGGTCGAATACAGCGTTGACAGAGGCAGTCTTTTCCACTGAAGGTGACACAGTCCCCGGCAGGAAAGGGCTGCCTGACAAACAGAGGAAGAGACAGAGGTACATCCCACAATTCCTTTCTCTCTCCAAACATGATCAAAATATTTGACATGTTTTTTTCCAGTTACTTGCAAATGGTGCACACAAAGCAGGCTGGGTGATAAGTCTTCCCCAAGACTGTGACCACCTCCCCTTCCACAAACTCCCCGCAGCTGTTGCAGAGCGTGCCGTGGAGCCTCTGGAAGTCCACTGGACAGAGGAAGTCCCCGCTCTTCATGAAGAAGCCACTCTGGGCCAAGTCACAGCCACACACTGCATAGATGCACAATCACACAGGGAGAAATTAACAGAGAGATTAATATTGAAAAATAAACCAACTAAGCAGATGAATACTGGAATGTATATGTTTGCATTTGACCCCTATGCTTTAAAACTCATTCCAATTCAAACTTTTCATGTTTCAATCTGTAGCCAAGGTCTCATTAGCATTTCACACAATAAACACCATCGAACGTAGCTTAATCTGGATATTAGTTAATAAAGTTTTGTTTTGAAATCTACTGTTTGAATGTTTGACTGCAGTAATTCACGCGAAACGTATTCTTTTGTTTTCTCTACAGGCCTTTACAAAAGCATCAGACACATTTAGAAGACAGATTTTCTATTAGTGTGATTTTAATTTGGTGCAGCTTGATTGAATTTAAAAGGAGCTGTTGGACCTTGGCGGAGGTATAAACATTCTACTAAGTTCGTTTCTAGTGTTTTATTTGGGTCAGTTTAAATCGGTACCTTTTTGCAGGCTATTGTTACAAGAGATGTTAAGAATAGCTACGTACGTAATCCATCACAGGGATTGATTTATGCGTTAGTGTGTATTCTAGCATCTGTGTGTGTGTGTGTGTGTGTGTGTGTGTGTGT